TCTTTGTAATGCCACTAAAAAGTTTAAGGAATGCGCTTATAATAAGGACAGGAATAATAGGGGGTGCGCTTATAATCGATTTCCGGCCATAAGCGTCATGCTCCAGATAGCGGCGCCGTCGCCTATAATTGGACGCGCCTATATCCGGGGTCATACGGTATCTCCACCGAAATTTCAGACCTTTCAACGGCTGAGGCGTTGGACAAGTTTAAGCGCGGGTTGAAGGATAGCGTTAGGATGGAAGTGGAGGTGCAGGGCTGCAATACGCTTGAAGACATGGCGCGTGTCGCTGAGCGGTATGATGAGATTCACTTCGGTAACCGTTGTAACCATTTCAACCGTGGGATGCGGTTCAGTCCGAACATGCTCCAGCCTATCCATGGGGAGCAGCGTGGTGGTGCAGCACCGACGCTGATGTAGCTGGATACGATTGATAAGAACAAGGAGAAACGGAAGGGCTTTGCTGGAAATTTCTTCAAGTGTGGGAAACGCAGTCACAAAGCGCTCAACTGCCCTACCAAATCTAGGCAGCCGGGAAACAAGCCTCACCAGTAGCTTTGGGGCGAGTTGCTGGTGGTGAGGAGTGCCCCACCTTGCTGACTCCATCCTCAACTCCGCTGCAACAGGAGTCGGAAGGAGCAATTGTACTTCGGGGGCAGATTCGTGGTAAGGGGGTAAAGATGTTGCTGGATAGTGGTGCTTCATCCAATTTCATTTCTTCTCGGCTGGTGCATGAATTGAAGTTACCTGTGCAGAGCAGTACAGTGGAGAGTACGGTGCGCATGGCGGATGGTGTAGTGCGAAGCTGTGGACCTGAGTTGTACCTGGTCAACTGCAACATAGGGGAGTTTCATGGAAAGATTCTGTTTCAACAAATCTGGCTGGATAGTCATGATGTCATCTTGGGCAGGAACTGGTTGGCAGCAGTGAACCCTCAGGTGGATTGGAGAACCAGGGAGGTGAAGGTATTGTTTGGGGGAAGATCTGTACGCCTACCAGTGGTGCAGCAGCAGGAGGGGATGACCTTGCAGCTGATTAGTGCGAAGCAGTTTGGTAAGGCAATTTGGGGAAATGAAGCAGTTTTTCTAGGTCTCATTACATAAGTTCAACCTACATCACTTGACGCAGTAACACCAACGGTTTCAGCATCACATGATGATGAGGAGTTGACATGGGGTGTGGAGAAGCTGCTGGAAATTTTTTCAGGGGTGTTTCCCGAGGACTTACCGGCTGGACTTCCTCCTAAGCGAGCTGCAGATCTTAGGATAGAGTTGATTCCTGGATCTACCCCACCTGTTTGACCTACCTACAAGATGAGTGCAGTGGAGCTGAAGGAGCTGACGAAGCAATTAGAGGACCTGTTAGCTAAGTAGTTCATTCAACCTAGTCTTCTCCGAACGCTTCTCCGGTGCTGTTCTCTGCGGATGTGTGTAGATTACCGTGGGCTCAACAAGATAACAGTGAAGAGCCGGTACCCACTGCCACGGATAGATGAGCTGTTTGAGCAAGTTGGTGAGGCACGATACTTCTCGAAGCTGGATCTGCGTTCGAGGTATCATCAGGTGCGGATTCAGAATGAGGACATCCCAAAAACAGTTTTCGAACATGGTACGGTCACTATGAGTTTCGTGTGTTGCCATTTGGTCTCACCAACGCTCCAGCCACTTTTCAAGGCATGATGCAGAGCATTTTCAGTGATTTCATGGACAAGTTTCTGGTGGTTTTCATTGATGACTTGCTGGTTTACAGTCGCACTCGTGAGGAGCACCTGAAGCACCTTGAGCTGGTCCTTGCACGTCTGAATGAGCACAGATTGTATGCCAAGCGTTCCAAGCGTGAGTTCGGCAAAACTAAGCTCTCATTTTTGGGTCATGTCATCTCTTATGGGAAGTTGGAGGTGGACAATATTAAGGTAGCAGTGCTGAAGCAGTGGAAGCAGCCAAGTACAGTGAAGGAGGTGCAGGCTTTCTTAAGGTTAGCTAACTACTACCGGCGGTTTGTGAAGGGTTTTGCAGCAGTGGCAGCACCTCTGACCGATCTCTTACAGAAAGACTCATCATTCAGTTGGGGACCATTGCAGCAGCAAGCTTTTGAGCAGCTCAAAACCTCTCTTACTTCACCCCCTGCCCTAGCAGTACCAAATCCAGAGCTCCGGTACTTCGTCTGGTATGATGCATCAGACGTTGCCCTTGGAGCCATTCTCTGCCAGGAGCAGGAAGCTAGGCTGCAGCCAATAGCCTTTGAGTCAAGGAAGCTCACTGCTGCAGAGCGCACATACCCCATTCACGAGAGAGAGGCACTTGCTGTGGTGCATGCACTGAAGAAGTGGCGCAATTATGTAGAGATGCAGCCCATCACAGTCTTCACTGATCACAGAACACTGGAGTACCTGAAAACACAGTCACAGATCACACCACGGCAGGCGCGGTGGGTTCAGTTTTTGGAGCAGTACATCCTTAACCTTCAGATTGTGTACAAACCAGGGCGCTTCAATCTGGCGGATGTTCTCTCACGGCCAGCAGCAGAGGAGCTGAATGTCATGGGTGTGGTTACATGGGGCCGCAACTTCATCACTCGTTTCAGCAGGGATTACAACAGTGATCAGCTGTACCAACAAAAGCCCCTCATGACCCAACCATTTTTTTAGCAATCCTTTTTGGCAGCATGCAGAATCTGGTGCTGTTTGTGTACCTGATGACTCCAGGCTTCGCCAGCTGCTACTACACGAGTACCATTACAACCGGTCACACTTCGGTAGTGACAAGACGTATGCTGCCATTTCCCGTGACTACTACTGGCCTGGACTGTCTCGGAGTGTAGCTGAGTACGTAGCTTCATGTCCTACTTGTCAAGTCAGCACAGCTCGCACCACTGCACCGGCTGGTCTGCTGCAACCATTAGAGATAACCACAGCCCCCTGGACTTGTGTTTCTCTGGATTTTATCACAGACTTACCCCGCACCCCAACAGGTTTTGACAGCATCCTGGTGGTCATTGACAAGCTATCCAAGATGGCTCATTTCATCCCTTACAACTGGCACAGTGACTGCTGCTGAAACTGCCAAGCTGTTTTTCACACAGGTGGTGAGACTGCATGGACTGCCCTCAGCCATAATCAGTGACAGAGAAACACGGTTCCTCAGCAACTTCTGGACTGCACTGTTTCAACTGCTGGGCACTCAGATTCGACTCTCTACAGCCTACTACCCTGAAACTGACGGTCAGACAGAGCGCATGAACAGAACCTTGGAGGATGCGCTACGCTCGTGTGTGAATGCCATGCAAACTGACTTGGATCAGTGTTGGTGTAAGGGCCTAATAAACTCAAACTATTAAGACTTTATCAAACTTAAAACCTCTCCTCGGGGTCACCTCCAAGGGTCCTTGGGTGCCTGGTACAAGACCAGCCCCTATCCTCGGGTCCGAGTTTGTAGAGAGAGGGATCAAGAGGGACTTAGTCAAAACAGCAAGAGTACCTTGAACGTCGCACAGCGTATCGTGCAGACCGTTGATCGGATTAAGCTGAGAATTTCCTATATCGAAGCTCACTCCAAGAGCTCTAAAATGAACCAAGTTGCCTCGCGAAAAGTTCTGCCATTACGAAGTTATGGCTTGGACAGCGTTTGCCTAGCGTTGGAGTGCTAGCGTACTAGCGTTGACTCGAGTAGCATTCCGCCGTCGCACCGCGTAGAAACGAAATTCCAGGAAGGGAGGAATTCGCTTGAATCAAATTGACTATATCCAGGTACAAACAAAGAAGGAATAAATAGTTCTAGCTAGCAAGGACCTTGGGAATAAACCTGGGAACAACCAGGGATGATCCCAAATAACTCCAAGCAACAGAACACACCTGGCTGGACAAAACAGCAGGTGGTATGTTGGTAAACAACCTCTGGTTCTGTTTTTCTAACCTGGGAAAACAACAACCAGGTTCAGGTCCTAAAAACAGAACCTGTTTTGTCTTTGCCCAACCAGCCAAATGCTGGTTCCGCTGGTTTCCCCTGGCCCTGTAGCATGCAGATACAGACAAACAACATCCAACCTTCACCTAAATTGTACCCCTATAGTGCCTGCCCTGCTACACTATAGTCAACCAAACAAAACAGTACAATTTCGAATTAGATAGAACTGAATCTGCACAATCAATTCAACCGAACCGCAAAGCTTCCATCTTGGGTTCCTTTGCGAGCTCGTCCTTTCTGCTTGTACTGTTCATAGCGCGTACAATGTTGTGCCGAAGCGCACATTGCGCGAATACCTGCAAATGCATCAAGCGAAAATTGCGAAAGCAAACAAACACACGAACATTCCATTCATACGCAAATGCATTCGCACACCCATACTCGTACAAACAGACGGCAGGATGTCGTGCAATGTGAATTTGCACCCAACAATCAGCACTTCGCAGCAGTGGAGTTTGCTTACAACAGCAGCCCCAACATTGCAACGGGAGAGCCACAGTTTCTCTTAGCTACAGGACAGCTACCACGCTCAGTCACATCCTTCCCTCACCCTCTTCAGTCCCCTAACCCCACAGCAGCAGATTTCATCTCTTCTCATCACCGCATTCTTCAACTTGCGCGAAGGAAGCTTCAGCTTGCACAAGAGCGCCAAGTTCGCTATGCCAACCAGCATAGGCGTCACACCACTTTCAAAGTTGGTGATTTGGTGCTGCTTTCAACTGCCAACCTACCTCTGCTGAACACTGGAACTTCTCGCAAGCTCGCACCCAGATTCGTTGGACCATTCCCCATCACCAAGGTTCTCTCACCGGTCAGCTACCGCCTTCAACTCCCTTCCCACATGACCATACACCCTGTTTTCCACATTCACCTTCTCCGTCCTTACCGTACCACCTCTCATCCATTCCAACCCCGCCCACTCATGTTCTCTGCCCATCCGGACCTGCATGAGGTCGACACCATTCTCTCACATCTTGACACTCCTGTTGGCCGTGATTATCTTATTCACTGGCGCAACACATCTGCATCTGAAGACTCATGGGACCCGTTCTCCAACCTCAGCCATGCTCCTCGTGGCATTGGAGTGTATCCTCATTGGCACCGAGGACGGTGTTTTCAGGGAGGGGAGGTAATGTAACAAGTGGCACCTGCGCGGGAGCCAACGTGAAGCGTACGGGAGGCAGCGACATGCAGCAGCCGCGTGCTGAGGTGAACGTGGCCAGCGCAGGGGAGGACGTGGGCAGGACGTGGGGGACTCACGTGAGAAGGACGAAACTGAGGTTTCGTGCCTTGACTGGCTTTGGGGGACTTTCGCGTGGGACAGGTGGCGGAAGAAATAGGAACATGTGCGATTGTAGTGAGTTTTACAAATTGTAAATAGGAAAGTAGAATGCGGCTCGATGTCAGGGCTGGCCACCCGAATCGACATTCCGAGCCGCGTGTCTGAATTGTAAATGTACTGTACATATAAAAATGCATTCGTAGGATAGAGAGAGGAGTTCTGGTTTCTCGTTCTGTTTGTTCTTCCTTGCTTCTAAGGAAATTCTCTTGGGAAGAATTCCCAGCCTGAAACAACTTGAACAAGCCCAAGTGCCGTGAGCTTGTTCCACACCATCACCGTCGCTGCTCCTCTCGTCGTGGGGCATTTCACCGATACCGCCGCTGCTCCTCTCGTCGCGGGGCATTTTGCCGCAACCGCCACTTCTTCCACTCGTTGCGGGGCATTTCGCCGCCGCCGCCACCGCTCCTTCTAGCCGCGGGGCATTTCGCCGTCGCCGTCTGCTCCTCTCATCGCGGGGCATTTCGCCACCACCGCCACTGCTCCTCACGTCGCGGGGCACTTCGCCGCCGCTGTCACTGCTCCCACTCGCCGCGGGCAGGCATTTCGCCGCCGTCACCACCGCTCTCACTCGTCGCGGGGCCTTTTCTCACGGTCACCACTGCTCCCACTCACCGCGGGGCATTTCGCTGCCACCGCCACTGCTCTCACTCGCCCATGGGGCACTTCGCCGCCACTGCCCCTGCTCTCTCTCGTCGCGGGGCTATTCGCCGCTGCCAGTTTAGTACATTCTGCCGTTTCCGCTGCTGCTCCTACTCTCCCTCGCCGCCGGGCACTTAGCTGCTGCCGCGTTTCGTCCTCTCTGCAGCTCCCTTGACCCTTCCGCCCTCATTGCTTCCGTCAACCGCTCCTCTTTTGCTGCCTCTCTCATAGTATCTCTGCTCTTCCACCCTCATGCGACGCGACTGCTACTCCTCTCCCACGTGCTGCTACTAACCCCCTCCCCCCTTCCCTTTGCTTCTAACTTGCCTCACTTTCGCTCGCCACTAACATTTTTCCTCCTCACGCCGCACTAACTTTTTGCTACGGCTGCTGCTTCTCTTCCTCGGAATTTCAACACGCTCTCCATTGATCAGCTCGAGCTCGTTCCCGATCAGAGCGCTATCATCTGGTACTCCTATACGGGGAGTGTACGCCACCTCCTCGGCGTCATCTACACCCCCAACACCTCCTCCACCCTCCTCGACCTTGTCCTCCACCATGCTGCCACTCTCCCGCCAACGCCCCCTATGTCCCCTGGATCAGCTCCCACTCTCCCGCCTGACCCTGGACCTGAACCTGGACCTAAAGCTGACGAGCCAGATCTGCCCGCTGCCTCCACGAATCCTATTCGCCAAGCCGCTGATGAAGCAGCCTACGATCTTGAGTGGCGTCGGTTCCTCACGCTCCGAGCGGACCATCGTGCGGCTCACGAGCAATACTAAATCACCGCACCATGGGTGACCGCTACATTCTCGCGCTCGCTGAATATACCGCTAAAGCTGCTGCATGGAAGGAATCTGACCTTTCTGCCTCTAATATTATCCTTGGTGGTCTCCCCCCAGCTCTCTTGCGAGACTTTCAGGAACAAGAACTACACGCACCTGCCCTTTGGGCCTCCCTCCTTGCCATGTTTGAGCGCCATGACGTCAACTCTGTCGGGCTCCTCGATAAATACTAGGAGACAACGCTAGCAACCTGCACTGGCGCCGTCACCTATACCGACCGCATGATCTCTCTCGCCAAGCGACTCAAGGCTCGCCAGTCCAAACTCCCCCAATTCATCCAGATAGATCGCCTTCTTCGCGGCCTCAACCCGTCCTACGACATGCACGTCATTGCCTTCTGCCAAAGTCAGCCGTTTGCGAGTGTTGCAGCTGTCGTTCAATGGATCATTGACATCGAAACCCGCCTCCTTCGTACCAACCCACCTTGTCTCAACACGGCTCACGCATCTGCACCAGAACTCAACGCCACCCGGTCTCATGGTGGTGGGCGTGGTGGCGGTCGTGGTGGCGGACGTGGAGGTGGGCGTGGTGGCGGTCGTGGTGGTGGACGTGGTGGCACGTCTTGCGGACGCACTCCTTCCGGCACGGGTGGCCCTGGAGGAGGACGTGGACTTGCTGCGTGCGCATGCGCAGGATTGAAATATCCAGTCGCATTTCTCCCCCGAATAGAGCGCCGGCTGCCGAGTATGCACCCACTTTCCGTGGTACATGTCGCATAGCGGGCCCGGGCAGGCGGCAGGGAAGGCAGGATGTGGAGGTGCGGTGAGGACACTTGGAATACCATCACTACCTTCAGTATCGCCCCCACTAGCATTCCCACCGCTTTTGTCACTGCCGTTACTGTCACCACCGCAAGAATCACCTGCTTCAGTTCTATCACATTCTGCCCTAAGCACACTAGTTAGCACTTTTCTCAAACCGCTTGCTAGTACCAGTACCAAGTCAGCTCTTAGAGGGGATTGAGCTGACTGCACCGCTCCAACCTGGCTACCCAAGTCCCCCTATTGGCTATGCTGGGAGATTCTGTGACTGTATGCGAACGAACTGTAACTATAAAAGGATGAAGAGACGGATGTGTTTCCTGGAATTGCATGTTGGCTTCTCATCCACCCAATAATGACGATGGCGAGGGATGGGAGGAAGGGGATGAGGGAGAGAAAAAAGGGAGAGGAAGAAAATATAAGGCGGAAGCATATGGATAGGTGAGAAAGATGAGGGAAAGGGATAGGGGAGAGGGACAGGGTAGAGGAAAGAAAGAGAGGGAGAGGGACAGGTTAGAGGAAAGAAAGAGAGGGAGGGAGCAGAGGGATAGGGGAGGGGATGAGGGAGACGGGGGATGAGGGAGGGGAGGGAAAGGAATTGGATGAGGGAAGGGGATGAGGGAGAGGGATGAGGTATGAGGTATAAAGGAGGGGTTGAGGGAGAGGGATGAAGGAGAGGAAGAAAGCAAGGGGGGGAAGCAGAGGGATGATGGAGAGGGAGAAAGAAAAAGGAACATGTTCAGTGAGAAGGAGAGCGAGGTGTGTGGGGAGAGAGGAGCAGAGGCAAGCGAAGGAGAGTGGTTGTGAAGGGGGGGTCTGGAGGACGGAATGAGATGGTGGAGGAAAGCGGAATGCTATTCGTCATGAGGAGAACTGAATCATCTAAATTAAAGCTAAACATGTGCCGTATGCACAACCACATACATTCAGATGAAAATTCTTAAAGAAACTCACATGTCGTCCAAGGGCTGGCGTAAAACGAGGTGACTTTTGAGTCGACTCAAAACTCACATCTCGTCCAGGGGCTGGCGTAAAACGAGTCCCACGCTGCAAAGCCCGGTATCGTTAGTAGCTGCAACGCTGCTAAACAGGCCGCAAGCCACTGAGCTCCTCCGCTAATCCCGGCGCCGCCTGCCTTCCCACCGCCCATGGCCGCCAGCAGAGCTGCTAGGGAGTGAGATTTGGAAGGGGTGCTGAAAGGTGTGGGAACATCCCCGCTGGCTGCAGCGGGGCGGGCGCATTACACGGAGCAAGCATGAATGGATGATGAGGATATGGAGTGAAAACATATTTCAGTTGACTTAGAAATCAGGAATCGACTATCAGGATACGATACGGAATGAGGAGCAGGGCTTTCCAGTTAGATGGCCTTCCACCAATGAACGAGGAAGAAACAATCGAGTGCCACACTAAGTCTCCGTATCTGAACCACACTGTGCGACTGTACCTGACGACCGTCGCGTGTGCGCAACCTCGCTAGGAGCTGACGCCACTGACACTGATCGTAGCGCCGTCGGTTGCGTTTGCGCCGACGAGGCTGAGGCTGCCTCCGCCATCATAATTCACGAATAAAGTATGAGTCTGCTCTGGAAGAAGATCATAATGTCGTGATACTGTTGTCATAACGGTATGACTCTGAAGCGACAACAGTATGAGTCTGCTCTGGAACTCCAGTCGGCAAATGAGCCCCTTTTCGAACTGCAGTTGTAAATAAAGAGTTTGCTCATGACGACGACGCTGTTACTAGGGGTCAACATTGGTTTTCCCATTTTACCGTTCTGAAACATATTCCACTCGATAAAACCGCAGTGCACGTGAGGGATTTTGACTAGGTCCCTGGATGTCACAGTTCTGCCTTATTACTAGTATAGGCCGATCTGTGCCAATCCCCGAAGGAAAAAAAATGAATCTATTCCTCGTCGTAGAGTCGCAGCACTCACAAACTCTTTTCGGGCGGGAGGCCTGGCCATGCGAAACCTTCGGCTGTAGGCTGCAAGGATGCCAGTGGCGATTGATAGCAACGCACGAAGAAGCCTGCTTGCATGGAATTTGCCTATTGGTTTCACTTAATGTCTGCGAAGGTTGGGTTCCGGTTCGGAGCAATAGCAGGCAATACAGAAGGCAAGTTTCAGACAAACAAATCTGGATTTGGCTATGGATCTTGCCGACGCACTAAGTCGTGCGTCACCTCGATACAATGACCGACATTTTTGGAACCAGCTCGTCACGCCGCGCAGTGTGGTATAACTTTCGTGTCTATCAAACGAACACTACACCAACACTGCATAGTGGCTCGTGTTGGAATAACCAAAGGGATATTATAACATTCTCGAAGGTTCTCCCTAGCACACCGCTTCATAAGGAAGCAGCGCACCTGTACCGGTGCCGCGCTAGCTCATATAGAGCACGTGAAGGTCAACAGTCACGCGAAGGTCAACAATCTTGGGAAGTCAATAGTTGCGATTCTTGACCACCCTGCAACTGTTGAGGATAGCAATAGTCGCAGTTACTGTAGCAATGCAAAGCACTTAATAAGGGAATGTGTCAGAATATAATGCTTGTGTAGTCTGTAGTGGGGTACTCAATAGTGAGTAAAACCCTTTTAGGGCTTGCTATTTGTACCTCCCTCCTTTCTAGTCAAACTCTCTTTTGCATATTCTCTCTTGCCTAGCTAGCTAAAGCCTATCTATGGCTCCTGCATTCTAGCTGCTATTGTTACATGCTATCAGAGCGGTTACGCTCCTGGCCTATGGGCCCGCCTGCTTCCGCTGCCCTACTCTCTGTCACGCGCCCCGTGGCGCGCGATGTTCATTTTTTCTTCCCGCCACGCGCTCGGGGCGCGTGGCGGTTTTCTGCCAGCCACGCGCTCGGGGCGCGTGGCGGTTTCCTGCCCGTCGCGCGCCCCGGGCGCGCGCGGCGGTTTCGTCGCCCGACGCGGCGCCCCGATGCCCGCGCGCTGTCCCCTCCCGTCGCCCGCCGCGGCGTCCCGGGGGCCCGCGCGTCGCCCCCCCCCTCCCGTCGCACGTCGAAGCGCCCCGGGGGCCTGCGCGCTGTCCCTTCCCATCGCCCGTCATGGCGCCTCGGGGACCCGCGCGTCGCTCCCCCTCCCGTCGCCCTTCGTGGCGCCCCGGGGGCCCGCGCGTCGCCCCTCCTCCCGTCGTCCGTCGAAGCGCCCCGGGGGCCTGCGCGCAGCCCCGCCCGTCGCCCGCCGCGGCGCCCTGGGGGACCGCGCGTCGCTCCTCCCTCCCGTCGCCCGTCGAAGCGCCCCGGGGGCTGCGCGCCGCCCTTCCCGTCGCCCGTTGCAGCGCCTCAGGGACCCGTGCGCCACCTGCGTTTAGGGTATGGGGTGGCGGGTATGGGGGTGGCGGGTGTGTGAGCCGTCCCCTGCTCCTCCTCCTCCTCCGTCTCCCACTGCTGCAGCTGCCGCTGAGGGGGGTGGGTGTGTGGAAGCCGAGGGAGTGGTGCTAGGGGGGTGACGAGGGAGTGGAGCTAGGGGTATAGCAAGGGGTGTGTGAAAGGGGGGTGGGACAATTGGGGGAGGTTGAGCGGAGGTTGCCGTCGTGTCGCCAGCAGCGCCAGTAGTCCAGAGGCTACAATCTCCGGTAGTCGCCAGTCGCCCGTGGGTCAGTTGCTCCAGCCGCTCGGCGTAGCCGCGGAGCCAGTTACTCCTGTAGTCCGGGCCTTTGCTTCGGTAGCCACTGAGCCAGCCGCTCCTGTGTGTCTGCAGCTTCCACCGTCGCCTCCCATCACCTCTCCTCTCACAGTCCCTCCTCCTCCTCACTTGCCCTCTGTGACTGCCTCTAGCTTTGCTTGAACTTGTGAACCTGCTTTGTGACTGCTTGCTGTGCTGGTTATACCCCACTTTGACAATGGGGATGTGTCAGAATATAATGCTTGTCTAGTCTGTAGTGGGGTACTCAATACTGAGTATAACCCTTTTAGGGCTTGCTATTGGTACCTCCCTCCTTTCTACGAACAAATAACGGGTAGATACAAACGCCCGTTTTGGGGTATTGTTTTGGTGGAATACTCACCCTAAAAAGAATCCAACGGCTAACCAGTAAGACTGCCACATCCAGTGCATCAATTCGCGAAATTTTGACTTTTGAAGAGTGCTAGGGCAGTGTGTAACAGCATTTTTTCGGGCACGCGGAAAATCAGCCTCATTTTTTGCTCCTACGCTCTGGAGGCTGATTTTCCAGACATGTGGCTAATGTATTGGCTGATCCGCCAGCCTTATTTTTGTATTGGCTGATTATTCAGAATTTTTTGAAGACCTTGGCTGATTTTCCAGCGTTTTTTTACAAGTGTTCACTGATTGATCAGCGTTGTAACAAGAGTGTAGGCTGAATTCACGGAATTACAGATTCGTGCTAGAGCCGTGAGTTTCGGCTATCTAGGTACATCCCCCGTCCATCTCGCAAAAGTTGTCATGTACAGCGCCGTCGCAGAGGGAAAACCGTTTTTTCCCAACGCGTCGGTTGCGTTGTTGTCACCGACAGAATGCATAAAGTGCTGTCATTGGTTGTTTAACCAATCACATCACTTATGGAGCAATCACCCACCCTCAGTGCAGCACATCAACGCACCGCACGCCCCCAAGACATGGAAACCCACCTCACCCCATCTCACCCACCCCGAACCTGCATCCAAGTGCGTGCGTGGTACCCCCACGTCGCGTCGCGATGCAGTTGGGTGGTGAGAACGAGAGGCCCTTCTTTTACACCCCTCTTGATGACCCTACCGTACCCACCCACCAAGCGAGCTGCACAGTCAATCCCCGCCTCTCACCCTAGTTTTCCCAAACCCTAGCAACATCAGAGCTCGGCACACTCTCTCCCTTCGGCCATGGATGGCCATGGCGAAGGCATGGCCATG